AGGATGCGCGGCAGATGGCAGGGTTTCCCCGAGCATCCCGCACACATCCAGCCCTGCCAGCGCAGCACTGGCTGCAGCAGGGCAAGAGCATCCCATCCCTTTCTCCTGCCCACCCTGACACATCGCAGCCAAGGACGGGGCGAGGAGGGAATAAGGGGGAAAGTTCCCAGCAGGCTCCGTCTTTTTAGTTTTTATCTTTCTGAGCTGGTTTTTAGTGTTTCTGGTATGGTGGGACAGTTGTGCCTGGCCCCACAGCCCTTCCTGTGCCATGCACAGCCCCAGGAGACGGTAGGCATTGATTGATGCCACAGGGAGCCAGGAAGAGTCCATCCCTGTGGAGCTGGGGGCAAAAGCAGAGGTTTAACCCTAAAATAGAGGTAAGCCAGAGAAAATCCCTCCAGCCATCACCACCAGTTAGCTCCAAAGTGGGAGGCTCAGCCCCAAAGAGGGGTGCTTAGTCCCACCCTTCCCAGACTTTTTCGTCTGGAGTTGGCACAGCTGTGCCCTCTGTTTCACCTGGAGCTGGGGGGTTGGTACCTTGGCTGAAGTCAGAGCAGATGTGAGTCTCCTCGTAGCCATCTGCTGCCGTGCAGGCAGTACGAGAAGCAGCTGGGGCAGCCGATGGGGTTGTGGGGCTGCAAGTTAAACCAGCCTGGCTGGCACCTGGGTGCAGGGAGGAAACAGGAGCAGGTGGCACAGGGCAAGAAGAGAGCTGCAGGGGACCACGGCAGCATTCCAGTGCAGAGCACTGATGGCAGCTCCTAGTGAGCCCCGTCCAGTGGTTTAGAGGGATGCAGCCAAGTCTTGGCATTGATCCCACACTGGAAAGAGACAGTGGTCCCGTTCCCATCCCAGGGCCACAGTGCTTACCTGTTGCACAAATGACCCTCCACCCTTTCCTTGCAGGTGCAGTGCCCTGTGTTGGGATCGCAGGTGCCCACACTGCCTGCTGGGTTGCATGTGCAGGGTCTGGATGGGACAAGATGAAGGCATGAGATGAGCTCTGGTCCCATCCTGCTGTTCCTTCTTGGGGCTAGGCTCCTCCTCACCTGCAGCCACCTTCGCTGAGGCTGTGGTAACCATTTGCAGCGCTCACACTTCCAGCCAGTCACATTGGCTTTGCAGAGACAGGTCCCTGAGCTATCACACTGAGGGTGCAGGGAGCCTGCAGGGACACAACCACCCCTAAGGCTCAACCCCAGCCAAGGAGAAACACAGGGCAGGGGGAGAGATGGGTAGATCCTGAACTAAGAGAACCCACCGAAACCATCCCTCCCATCACATCCCGGCTGGGCAGTGGTTTTGCAGCCAGATCCTGGCTGGGCACAACCTCACCCACCTGCAGGGTGGCAGTGGCACTGCCTGTGGCTCCCAGCGGTAGTGGTTCTGCCGGCAGTGCTCGCAGTGGGGTCCAGCCGTGTTGTCACGGCAGTTGAGACAGTGCCCCCCGTGCCCACTGCGCCGGTACAGCTCCCGGTCATAGAAACACTCCTCGGAGCGGCCGCTGCAGTTGCAAGCTGAGGGGAGACAGGAGGAGGGGTCAGAAACTGGGGGCCACTGGGCTCACCCAGGGGTTACAGCATCCCGTGGCGTTGGATGAGCCAGAGGGCCCTCTTGGTTCAGCTGTGTGAGCTTTGGGCAGTTCCTCTGTCGTTGGAAGCAGAGGTGGGTGCAGCACTATGCATGGAGCAGATGGCTACACTCATAGGGTATGGAAATGAGGAATCCTCGGGGTGCTGCTGTGAAGGAGAGCCCTGGGGTGCAAATGCCCCGCCCCTGCCTTACAACACGGGAGAGACTTCCCATGCAGGAAGGGCAGGAGCTGCTGGATAAGTTGATGCAGCACTAGTGCAGCCCCTTGGGACCAGTGACACGCAATGACCATGGAGCCAGCCCAGGACATACTCACGGAGACACTCGTTGGCAGCCTCAGCAGTGCCACGTGCCCAGGGCCGGTCCTGGTAGAAGGGCTGGCAGCGCTCGCAGTCGACACCGGCTGTGTGATGCTGGCACACACAGACCAACTTCCCAGCCTCGTCCGGGGCACACTCACTGGCATGGCCATTGCATTTGCACCTGCAGTGAGACCCCAGTGTGAGGGAGAGCTCTGGGCACCAGCGTAGGCAGCAGGACAATGGGATGGTGCTCAGGCTGTGTGACTCTGCTACTGGGCTGGCCATGGGGTGAAAGCAGCTTGGGCTGTGCTGCAGTTGAGTCTGCCCATCACGTCCCTGAGGCATTCCCAGCCTGGCCAGCTGGGAGGTCACACGCTGAGGGTGGCCCATGCAAGATGCTAACCAGTTCCAGCTGCTGACCCCAGAGGTGGGACAGCAGCTACAAGGGCTGCTGGCTGACTGGGACAGCCTTGGCCCCACTGCCTGGGGTGAGCAGACAGCTCTCACCAGGATGGAGAGATTTCCCACTCCTCCCAGCTCTGGTTTACACACAGAGGAAGCCACATCTGGGTGGTTTTTCCCAAAATCGTAATTCAAACAAGACTGAGGTGGGGGAGCAGCTGCCCCAGCCTCACAGCCCCAGGAAGGTCCCCATACTCCTGCCCTCACCCTGGTCCAGCTGTCCCTCACCTGCCACCAACAGAGAAGTCAGAGATGGCATAGTAGTATGACTGCAGCACCTTGGGGTCCTTGAAGATGTCATCCCCAAATGTGTTGAGCCGGTTCAAGGAGATGAGCAGGTCAGTGACTGTCACCCACTCCTGCAGGGGACATGGGGAAGGCACCTTGGTGAGGGGTCAGGGCCACCAGATCCCACCCCAACCAGGATGCTGGGCATTCCCAGTGCTTTTACCCTGATGGGTGCAAGAGTGCTCTCCATCTCAGGAGTCCATACACCCATCCCATTCCCACCCTGGCAGCACCTGCAGCGCTGGGCTTCCATCAAAATTGTAGGCGCTGGGCCGTCCCTCAAGGGTGGAGAAGGCCACGTTGCCACCACTCAGAGGTGAGATGTCACTGAATTCATCGCTGCAGAAAGCCACCTGCTCATCCTCCCCAGGCCGCAGGTAGTGCCGCGGGCGCTTCCCGTAGGTCTTCTCACAGGATGCACTGTAGTACTGGAAGGGCACCCAGGGCCCCTCGGCACGGCTGCGCTTGTAGATGGCAAAGCTCTCGGGGCGGCTGGTGTGAAACTTCAGCCGCACGTAGGTGATCTCGTAGGCTTTGCCTGTGGACAGACCCACCATGCTGTGACTCTCTTCCAGACACCCAGTGGGCACCACAGCCTAAATTATGCCAGAACCCCATCCCACTGCACTGTCCTCTTCTGTCTGCCACAGCTAAAAGAGGAGGAATCACCATACAGCTGTTCTTAACAAGCTCCTCCTTGCCGCAGCCCAAACCCCATCCAGCTCCAAGCTGGCTCTCACCCCAACACAGCACCCAACCCTTGTGTGGGTGCAGTGGATGGGTTGCATGGACAAGTAGCCGCTGCAAATCCAAGCTCTATCCAACAGCAAGTGTGAAAGCAGCACTGAGAGCATCCCCAGGGCAGTGGTGTCTCAGGGATGGAGAGCTGGAAAGGGTCAAGGCCAATCCCTTCCCAGGGAGCTGCGTGCCGGGACCCAGCCTCTCTGCCATCTTTGCTGGGATGAAGACAAAGAGAGGCCACCAATCCCTGGGGCAGCTGGCGAGCTCTGAAAGTGCTTGAAAGAATTAGCAGAAAGGAGAAGAGAAAACACCAAAGTGAACATCAGACCCGCTTAATTGCCAGAGATGAAGGACCAGCTCAAAGACTGGATTGCTCCATAACAGCACCGCTCCTGACAGCACAAAACAATTAGCTGCAAGGTTTTGGCTTTATTTGAAAAGATAATGAGTTGGGAATGTTAGAGGGGTTATTCCGGGACTAGGAAAACAAGCCTTTAATTGGGCCCATATGAATACTGTCGCGTATGTGCTGCGACTTTGCTGCGGGGGAGCTGAGGCAGTCGGCTACCAGCGCTGGGAAAAGCAGCTGCATCCCATCAGGGATGCAGGGAGCGCCCGGCTGAGTGCCTGGAGCAGGGGACAGACCCACTCCCAGCCCACCCAGAGGTGATGAGGGCCAAGAAGGGGCTGCAGCCAAGCTGTCCCACCATCACCACACTCCCCTGTGCCTCTCCCCTCCCTATGGGACCCTCCGGGCTTGTGAGAGTGGGGGTGTCCTTGTCCTGCATCCCGTGCCTGGCAGGCGCCAGTTCCCAGACATCATAGTCCCAGTGGGGATGTCTACCAAAACAGCAAGGTCAGGGCCATCACCTCGCAGAGCAGTTTCCTCTGGGAGAGGAAGGGAGCTCAGCGCTGTGTCAATAAACTGCCCCTGCCCCAAGCGGCCCCGCGCGAGGGGAGGGGATGACTAGGCTGGGGGAACACATTTCTGTGCCTCCAGCTGGGATGAAGGAGACTTGTTTCCCTGAGGAATCATCTCGAGGGAGCGTGTGCTTTTCCCAGATAGGCTTTTGAACCAACCAATTTCTGCTTAGAAAAAAAAGATCCAGAAAATAACCCAGGCTGCTGGTCTCTGCTTTGCTGCTCATGGGGTCTCCTATGCCTGTCTGCTGTGATGTGTGCCAAAGGCAGGTGTGCTGCAGGACAGGGATGCTGGGAAGGGTGTAAAGGCAGCACCAGGACCCCTGGGTGCTCTCCCAGCTGCGCTGTCACCCAAACAAAGTTATCCCATGCCTCTCACAGAGCCCAAACTGCAGCTTGTACCATACTGGTGGCTCTAAGCAGAGGAGTTTTGGAGAGAAGAGAGGATCATGCAGGGCAGCTGCCTCCAGCCCCACCAAAACTCAGCCCCCTGGGCTCCCATCCCACAGGAAAACCAGAGTCAGAGTCACAGACACAGATACTGACTGATCTAGACACTCCAAAATAAGCTGTTGGCATTCAGAGAGCTTCCTGAGGAGCTCTCATGCCTGTTGCCTTTGCAAGCTGCAGATATTTTGGGTTCCTCCCTGACGTCTGACAGGGTAAGTGCAAGAGCCATGGACACTTGGGACGATCGACCTGCTCCAAATCCAATGCACTGTAATGGCACAACTGAAACCTTGCAGGGAAGAGAGATTTAAAGGAGGATAATCTAATTAACGCCAATCAACAGCATACAGGTAAACACACGTCTTGTCCAACTCATCCCATATCTTATCTAATAAGCTCCCAAGGTAACCACACCAGAGAACCTACAGGATGTGTGACTTGGAACTGAGCAAGACAAGCAGGCTGGAGGGACGTGCTACATGGGTTAAAACATCCAATTACTTGGTGGAGCTCACAAACTAGGACTCATCCTGGGCCACATTCTGGGAGGCTGTGGGGGCTGGTTGAGCTTTTCTTCCTTAACCCAAGTAAAGGCATCAAGGTAGCAATTAAAAGGTTTGCAGCTAGGACAAGAATGGAGCCCAGAGGGTGTAAGAAAAAGTCAGACAGTGATGTGCCAAGCACCAAAATGGCACTTTTTAGCACAGCAAGATATAGGAACCATGCAGGAGGAAGGCTACATTTGCAGAGGATGCTCAAGCTCAGGAAGAGCCACAGGGACCAGGCTGGAAGAAGAGCTCAGTGTGATGGTATAGCCTTGGCTGTGTTAACAGAGACAGACACAGCAGGGTGGTCACAGGGATTGGACTCCACGGGAAACCCAAGTGTGGGGTCCAGCAAGAAGAGATGGAAGAAAGACAAGAGACTGGGAAGCAAGCCCTGAGGCTTGCAGAGCCCTCACATGTCGCCGTGCCGAGCTGGGACTGGTGGCCACAAACTCACGCGGCAGCAGCTTATTCAGCCACACAGGCTGCGTTCGGGTGGTCTGTGCCCCGGCTCATACACAAACGGATTTGGGGCGATCTGACAGCCTATGTTAGGTGGACAAGAGGCCAGCAGATCCCCTCTGGCAGGAGCGGGAGCAGGGAGCGAGAATGGCAAGCTCCTTCACATCCACTCTGTGATGCCCCGCAGGGAGCTCAGCCCCAGCTCCGGGACGGGGATCAGATGCCTGTCCGCTCGCAGGGGGCTGGGAAAGCGGCGACCTCCTCCCAGACGGGCACTCCCGGGACACTGCCGGTGCAGGCACAGACCCTCCACCATCACCCCGACCCGAGGTGGGTCCAACCCGCACGGCTCAGTGCCACCCCACACTCAGCGTCCGCTTACCAGCTCCAGCCGCAGCCCCTCCACTACCCCCCTTCGGCATGCAGATGGCAGGAGACTGCAGAGAATGAAGATTTTACAGCGCTGGCCAACAGCCAGGATAGTTTAGACGGCAGGAAAACGTTGCAAAACCTTTTTAAAATGCCAGGCATGCCCCTCGGGTTTAAGTACCCTCCGAGCGGGCGCCTTGCACAGTATTTAAAACACAGAGGGTTGGATCCCAGCTGGGGAAGCCTGTAGGAGCTGCACGATGTGTGCAAAGCTCTGCACCCCAAGACACACCAGACAGCCTCAGCAATGCACAGGGGGAGAAATGGCAAGGGCTTGGCACACACGATGCTCACTCCCAGTGGGCAAGGCTCTCCCAGGGGTAGGAACCACCTGCCTCCTGCTCCACACACTGCCAGAATCATTAAAAAGCAGTTGGGGTGAGTGGAACAGCAGGCGCCCTGGGCATAGCTTGCTGGGAAGCAGCAGAGGTGAGCATGGCCACTGGCATCCTCACCGCACAAAGGCTTGGCTGATGGGCAGGGCAGACCCTCCCCAAGTCCTTTCAGTGCTTTGCAGAGGGCATTTCTCTCCTTACACCCCCTAAACGCCCTGAGAAGGGTCCTGTCCTTAATCCAACACCAGCACCAAGAGCTGCAGGATGGAGGAGCATCCACTCCCATCCCTGCCCCCAGACCTGCAGGATGGAGGAGCATCCACTCCCATCTCTGCCCCCTGATCTGCAGGATGGAGGAGCATCCACTCCC